ATGTCCCCTCGATGTCCCCAATGTCCCCAATGTCCCCAATGTCCCCAATGTCCCCAATGTCCCCAATGTCCCCGATGACCCCATGTCCCCAATGTCCCCAATGTCCCCTCGATGTCCCCGATGACCCCAATGTCCCCGATGTCCCCTCAGTGTCCCCAATGTCCCCAGTGTCCCCAAAGCCATACCAGGTACACATCACAGAGTTCATAGACCCAGAAGCCGTGCACGGCCGTGGTGGCCCCATAACCCCCGTACCCCCACAGACACCCCAATGTCCCCAATGTCCCCGATGTCCCCTCGATGTCCCCAATGTCCCCTCAGTGTCCCCAGTGTCCCCATACCAGGTAGACGTCACACAGCTCGTACACCCAGCAGCCGTGCACGGCCGTGGTGGCCCCATAACCCCATGAACATCCCGATGTCCCCAATGTCCCTGATGACCCCAATGTCCCCGATGTCCCCTCGATGTCCCCAATGTCCCCAATGTCCCCATACCAGGTAGACGTCACACAGCTCGTACACCCAGAAGCCGTGCACGGCCGTGGTGGCCCCCGGGAAGTCGAAGCCCCCCAGGGCGGCGCCGCAGCTCCGGACGGCGCGGCTGAGGCGGCTGCGGACCCAGCGGTCAGCCAGGGACAGGGACAGGGCCTGGGGACATCATTGGGGACATCAGAGTGACACTGGGGACAAGGCTGCGGACCCAGCGGTCAGCCAGGGACAGCCTGAGGGCCTGGGGACAGGGACAGGGACATCAGAGTGACACTGGGGACACTGGGGACACTGGGGACACGGCTGAGACGGCTGCGGACCCAGCGGTCAGCCAGGGACAGGGACAGACCCTGGGGACAGGGACAGGGACACTGGGGACACTGGGGACATTGGGGACAGGGACAGTGACACTGGGGACATCACTGGGGACACGGCTGAGGCGGCTGCGGACCCAGCGGTCAGCCAGGGACAGGGACAGGGCCTGGGGACATCACTGGGGACAGTGACACTGGGGACACTGGGGACACTGGGGACACTGGGGACATCAGAGTGACACTGGGGACATTGGGGACACTGGGGACACTGGGGACATTGGGGACACTGGGGACATTGGGGACACTGGGGACACTGGGGACATCATTGGGGACACTGGGGACACTGGGGACACTGGGGACATTGGGGACAGGGACAGGGACACTGGGGACACTGGGGACATTGGGGACAGGGACAGTGACACTGGGGACATCACTGGGGACACGGCTGAGGCGGCTGCGGACCCAGCGGTCAGCCAGGGACAGGGACAGGGCCTGGGGACA